TTAATATATTAATAACATTATTAATATTAAAAACATATAATTAATAATAGTAATTAAATACATGTATAATTTAATTGTTTTTTATTTGATAAAAAAATATATAAAACTAATAAACATGTATTTTATTAAAATGATTCAAGAACGAAAATTAATTATTGTTAGAAAATAATTGATTCTCCTCTGGTGAGAATCAATTATCTCAATCCTTATCTTTCCTTCTATACTTATTTCACCAAACACAACTTGTTTTACTTCATCAAAGTACAACTTCAAAACTAACTAGCACGAACAAGCATACAACTTCAGAAATAACCACACAAAAACAATTATAGCACAAGCACTTAATTATAGGGATAACAAAATGGGCTAGCTCGTCCTATTTTGGTCTGCCTCGCCTTTGACCTATCAAAAGCGAGTAGGGCAAACTGACCCGTTATAATCATAATGGATCGTAGACCTTGATCCGCCTTGTCAAGGGGCGGACTGACTCGTCATAATTTAGAAAAAAATAATTTATTTTTCAAAATAAAAAATTTCAATAAATTTAATAATAAGATTATTATTTGTTTGTCAATAATTCAATATATATTATTTCAATGTAATAATATAAATCAATATATTGTTTTAAAAAATTATAATTTAGAACAATAATAAAATTTATATAATAATAAATAATAACAAATATATATATATATATATATATATATATATATTAAAACTTATAAAATTTATATTTTTATATTAAAAAATTTAAATACCTATATCTTTTTTATTTGATAAAACTTCACATTATTCGTGTTTTAGTAATTTTTACACCTTTAATTCAAGTCATAAGGATAAAATAATCGAGTGCTTAGGATAACATGAGAGAGAATGTTGTGTTTCAATAAGGAGAATATTTTCTCGTGAGAGTGAAACTTTTTAATTCTTTTTAAAAAAAAATTAACTTTATATATTATCTTTATAATTAACTTTATTACAATAAAAAAATTATTTTTTTATTAATTAGGCGAGTCGCATGCTGACCCGTTCGTCTCACGATTGGCCTGACGGGTTGGCGGGCTTGGCGGGATGGACTAAAGTGGGTTGGCGGGCTGAAAACATTAACCCGTCCCACCATATTATAGCGGTTCGTCGAGCCTGCTCGTTTTGTTATCCCTGCCTAACTACAATAATTCACGAGTTTTTTATGTCATTTAAAGATTTAACTACCCTATTTATTATACTAATGAGTTTTTTTAATGACATTGAAAACCTTATTTACCTTTGTTTATGGTCAACAATTCAGACAATAGTTAATGTGAGCGGCCTTCTACGAAGGAAATCTTGCATGCATTCATCTGCCATGTAAACAATAAAAAGAAATGTAATTGTGTAAAATTATAGACAGTTACAAATATTTCTCCGCTTATCTCCTCATCCCTGCAAAAAGTTTTCATCTCATCTTTCCCTTTAATTTGCACCTTCAAATCCTTTTCCGTCCACTTAAATTTGTTCATAGGTATATAATTTAAAAACAGTCTCCACTCACTTTTCCGTCCACTTAAATAGTAAATTGATGAAAACAAACAAAAACTTAATTAATACCTATCAACAAATACTCATCTCCACCCATATTGCTCAATCATGTTGCATCACTAAGCTTGTGTTTGATTTTAAGATAGATATGGGGGAGTGAAAATGAGTGGATTTAAGAGAAAAGAAATGTGAAATTTGAGTTAGCTGGATTAAGGGAAAGTTGGTGAAAAATGAAAGAAAATAAAAAAAAAGTTTGTGAGTGATGTGATTGGTTTGATAAATTAAAAAAGTATTTTAATTAATAAAATTATAAGATTACAATTTTATCCTTGTGTTAAAAAATTAATTTTTTAAAAAATGTAGCTGGTATAAATCATGTTAAAATCAAATGTGAGTTAGTATTTAAAATAGAAACTCTCTTTTATTCACGTGAACAGTATATCAAAAAATATAAACACAGCATAAATAAAAAAACATTAACAATTTAAAATTTATTTTTAATAAAAATGTTTTTTTAATGTTGTTAATTAGACACATGAATTCCTTGACTAAAAATGAAGTATTTATCGGTATATTTAGAAAAATAATTTATTCCAAATTTTGGGAATTATAATTATGATAAATAAGAAAGTTATGATTTTTTTTAAATAATAAAATAAATAAAACATATTATAATAACTTAACCACGTTGAGATATAATAAAAAGAAAATAGAACCTGTTTCATTTAATTTTAATATTTTTAAAATTAAATGAAAACTAAACTTATTTAATAATTTTAGTTTGAAATTTATTTTAGATGAAATAAATTATTTTTCAATAATAATAAAAATCTGTGATAAAAAATAAAAAATTATTTTGATAATTTTAGTTATACGATAGACAAATGGAACTATAGTAAAAATAAAACGGAAAATATTTTTATTAATTTTATTTGTCTAAATTAAAAAAATTAGTCTTTAAAAACTAATTTAGGAAAACAATTATTTAATATTTGTTTTTAAATTGAAAACCATTTAAACAAATTAATAAAAAATACATCCTTAACCATTTTTTTTATAAATTTTCTTTTGTTTTCTTTTTTTATTGATTAACTTTCACCTAGTTTTTTTAGCTCACTCATCTCAAAAAGCTAAATTAGTAATGTATTGTCAAATTAAAGATTTGTCTTCTTATAAAATGAACAAATCCTAATTTTGTTTTTTTCAATTTTATACTAAAAAATGATTTTTTTATTGTTGCAGAACACATATTAACTATTTTAACTATAATTAAAATGTTATTTAACCATTCTTGTTTATATTTATTAATTTGCGAGGTATCAAGTAAATAAGTGATACTTATATTTTTCTTAATCCTAAAATTGATTGTTAAAAACCAAAATTTTTGAAATTTAAGAACTAAAAAAGTTAGGTTTTATAAAATTTAGAAGGTTAAAAATAAAAGTAAAATATTTTAGTAAAATAAATTTTACGCATTTTACAATAATAGAAAAACAGTAATTAAAAAAAATCATAACAAAATTGTTTTTAAAATTTTGTAATGATATATATCAGGAGATATTAATACACTCTAATTAGATGTTTACCCTTCATTATTGTTTTTTATAATATAATAATTAAAATTAATAATTGATCTCAATCATTAAATAAAATAAAATATTTTTTTACTCGTACTTTAAAAAAGAGTGAATCATTATATATATAATAAAAACTAAAAAAATTTCATTTTTTTTATCATATTTTTCAATTTATAATTGAAAATAATACTTATTATCATAATTATTAGATAAATAAAAAAATAAACTATGAAAAATAAAAGAATATAAATAAATCTTTTACATATATGTATATTTAAAACATTTTATTTATTTTTATTGTATTTTATTCAAAGTTTTAGTCTAGTACAAATTTTAAATGGCTGTTAAGATACCGCTTAGAAGTAATTTAGGAAATATATTAGTTTTATAGTTACAGGCATAAAGACATGGAATAATGGAATAAGTGTTTTTTTGTACAGTTTCGGATTTGGACTTACACAAGTTTGGTCTTATTTATTTATAATATAATTTATGTAAGAGACTGATATAGAACAATGGAATGATTTGCAATACGAACAAAAGAGCACAAAATCTAAAAATTTATACACTAAATAATAATAGTTTATTTATTATAGTTATATATTATAATTTAAGAAAGAAAGTTTTTGAGAAAATGACTGTATATATAAATAAAAAGAAGAATTATTGTATGGTAAATAATTGAAATGGTTATTACAGAAGAGCAAATTAGTTTCCATCAAGTATGGTTGACAACAAAAACAAAAAAACAATAATTTTATTCAATTCAAACGCGGGCCCGTAGCCCGGGCAAAAGACACCGCCTTTACGCTGTACACAGCACACGCTAACACTAATCCATTAATTAATATCTAAATAACACTAACGCTAGTTAATCTTACAAAACTGATTTTATTTTGTTTCAAATTCTCATAATAAGAATGCTCCTAATAAACCTTATATTGGTAAAAAAAAAAATAATAAACACGATTATTGTTTGCGCGTGCTTTTTTAACAATATATTTATTTTTTATTTATATTTTTATTTCTAATAATTCGAATCCCAGCCCTTGCGATTGTAACCGCTGTTGCAGTTGCCTCTTCATCTTCCTCTTGTTATTCACACTATTTTCCGACTCTCTCACTCACTCTCCCTTCTTCTCTTCGCTTCTTCAGATCTCTTCTCCAATTCCAGGTGATTTCGTCTATCCGATCTGTTTTTTTTTTTTTTTTTTCTTTTGAATCTATTTTACCTCTCCGATTCGCCTTTTTTTTTTGTTTTTTGTTTTTGTGCGGTTTAGGTTTTCGTTTCCTTTTCCAATCATGTTAGGGTGGTCCGATTCGATGGTTTTGTTACTTGTTTGAATTGTGATTGATATGAATTATTGTTTGTGTTGACTCGGTTTCGATCTGTGGTTTGGTGAATCTGTAGCTTCTCACTCGGATATTTGGTTTAGATGAGACACGAGCGATTGCCATAGTCAATTGTTCTCGTGGCCACAAAATCTGTATTCCGTATGCACTTGATTGCAGATTTAATCGGTTTTTGTTTACTAGCTATCACGATAGAAACCGGAAAACGTATCTCAATTAGGTGTTTCATTTCGAGTAATCTGATGATATATAGGGCATGTACTTCTTTTGAGCTATTTAATTTAAGTATACGTGGTCCAGGCTTTTTCTATGCTTTGTTCTAGAGTCATGTGAATTTATACAAGTTATTTTCTTGCTTGATATCATAATATTGCTATTATTGGATTCTGAATATGCTGGCCATTTAGGTGATTATGGATCTGGAGTTGGGATAGTTTAATAGACTAATAGAAATTTGCTTCTTCAATGAAATTGAATTCCCCCTCCCATATTTTTTTTTCGGCTCGTGACTGAAGAATTTAGAGCTGATTGTTTTGTGCCATTAGGTAGAGCATGGCAATGGAAGTTACTCAGGTGCTTTTGAATGCTCAATCAATTGATGGGAATGTGCGGAAGCATGCCGAGGACACTTTGCGACAATTTCAAGAGCAAAACCTTCCTGGATTCTTGGTCTCTTTGTCTGGAGAGTTAGCAAGTGAAGATAAACCGGTTGATAGCCGAAAGTTGGCAGGTTTGATACTTAAAAATGCTTTGGATGCCAAGGATGAAAGCAGAAAGCAGGAATTGGTCCAAAGATGGTTGTCGCTGGACCCTGTGGCGAAAACTCAAGTTAAATCATGCCTGCTGCAAACACTCTCTTCTCTTGCCCTTGATGCTCGGTCTACAGCTACTCAAGTTATTGCTAAAGTTGCTGGAATTGAGCTTCCTCAGAAACAGTGGCCTGAGCTGATTGGATCACTTTTATCAAATATTCATCAAGTACCTACTCATGTGAAGCAAGCGACTTTGGAGACTCTAGGGTATTTGTGCGAGGAAGTATCTCCTCATATTGTTGATCAGGACCAAGTAAATAAAATACTTACTGCTGTAGTTCAAGGTATGAATGCTTCTGAAGGGAATAATGATGTTAGGCTTGCTGCTACAAGGGCATTATATAATGCTCTTGGATTTGCCCAGGCTAATTTTGGCAATGATATGGAGCGTGATTATATAATGAGAGTTGTTTGTGAGACAACTATGTCCCCTGAAGTGAAAATACGTCAAGCAGCCTTTGAATGTTTGGTCTCTATTGCTGCCATGTATTATGAGAAATTGGCTCCTTACATCCAGGATATATATAACATCACAGCAAAGGCTGTTAGGAGTGATGAGGAGCCTGTTGCTCTTCAAGCCATTGAATTTTGGAGTACAATTTGTGATGAGGAGACTGATATCTTGGAAGAATATATGGGTGATTCCAATGGTGACTCTGATATACGTTGTTTTTATTTTATAAAGCAAGCTCTTCCGGCACTTATCCCTCTGTTGTTGGAAACATTACTCAAACAAGAAGAAGATCAGGATCTGGACGAAGGTGCATGGAATATTGCAATGGCAGGTGGTACGTGCCTTGGTTTAGTTGCTCGTACAGTTGGAGATGATATTGTGCCATTGGTAATGCCGTTCATTGAGGAGAATATTACAAAACCAGATTGGAGGCAAAGGGAGGCAGCCTCTTATGCCTTTGGATCTATCTTGGAGGGGCCTTCCCCTGACAAATTAGCTCCTCTTGTCAACCATGCGTTACCTTTTATGCTCAGTGCTTTAGTGAAGGACCCAAACAACCATGTGAAAGACACCACTGCTTGGACTTTGGGACGAATGTTTGAATTTCTTCACAGTTCAATTGTTGGTACACCAATTATTAATGAGGGAAACTGCCAACAGATTATTACAGTTCTCCTTCAGAGCATGAAGGATGTTCCCAATGTTGCTGAAAAGGCCTGTGGTGCTCTGTATTTTCTTGCCCAGGGTTATGAGGATTTTGGACCAACATCTCCTCTAACTCCCTTTTTTCAGGAAATCATTCAATCCCTTCTAACTGTTACCCACAGAGAGGATGCTACAGAATCACGATTGAGAACTTCGGCATATGAAACATTGAACGAAGTGGTAAGGTGTTCAACTGATGAAACAGCTCCTTTGGTGTTGCAATTAGTTTCTGCCATCATGATGGAGCTGCACAAATGTCTTGAAGCACAAAATCTTTCATCTGAGGAAAGAGAAAAGCGGAGTGAATTGATAGGTCTTCTCTGTGGGTGCATGCAAGTAATTATTCAGAAGTTAGGGTCTTTAGAAGGTACCAAATATGTCTTCTTGCAGATTTCTGATCAGATAATGCAACTATTCTTCAGGGTCTTTTCTTGTAGAAATGCCACTGCACATGAGGAGGCAATGCTAGCCATTGGAGCCCTTGCCTATGCGATAGGCCCTGATTTTGCCAAGTACATGCCAGAGTTTTACAAGTTTCTCGAGATGGACCTTCAGAACTTTGAGGAGTACCAAGTTTGTGCTGTCACTGTTGGTGTGGTAGGGGACATATGCAGGGCATTGGAGGATAAAATACTACCTTATTGCGATGGGATTATGACGCAACTTCTCAAAAATTTGTCAAGTGATAATTTGCACCGTTCTGTGAAGCCCCCGCTATTCTCATGCATTGGTGATATAGCACTTGCAATAGGAGATAACTTTAATAAATACTTAATGTATGCGATGAACACACTGCAACTTGCTGCAGAGATGTATGCCCACACATCAGGTTTTGATGATGAAATGACTGAGTACGTTAATTCTTTGAGAAATGGGATATTAGAGGCTTATTCTGGCATTTTTCAAGGGTTTAAGAATTCATCAAAAACCCAACTTTTGATTCCTTATGCGCCTCACATACTTCAGTTTTTGGATAGCATATACATGGAAAAAGACATGTAAGAAAGGAAAATAAGTTCTTTCTCTTTTTAATTTTTTAATGTATTTGCTACTTTTGTTGACTTAATTGCCTCTTGAATGCAGGGACGAAGTAGTCATGAAAACAGCAATTGGAGTCCTTGGAGATCTAGCTGATACACTTGGAAGCAATGCTGGTTCTTTAATACAGCAATCTTTGTCAAGTAGAGACTTTCTGAATGAATGTTTGACCTCAGAAGATAATTTGATTAAGGAATCTGCTGAGTGGGCCAAGTTGGCTATCACTCGAGCTATATCTGTCTGAGGTTCATCAGGTTTAGCATATCCATTGTCATAAACTATCTGCATGCATTTGGGTGTGTCGACGTGGGTCTTGGGATTGCATGTGTCAATTTGTCTCCATGGTCAGACAACAGGAAGGTATCAGTCTGAATGTCTTCTTGTTGTCACTAACTCTTGCATCATCACCAATGCATCACTGACTTTTGCATGAGCACCATTAAGTCCAGGTCTGTCAAGAGGAAGAAGGTAGCAATGAGTTTGCAAATGTGGGTGTAGGTCTTCATGAAACATGTAATTGATTGAATGGCTACGGGGAGGCAACTGATTCCTGATTGAGAAACTAAGTTACTATTAGTTGGAATTGGATGATGAGTTTGGAGCCGATGTTACGAGAAATTAAACCCATTCGAGCTTGAAAACGGTTTTTTCCTGAACTGATCAATGCATTATTGGAATAGTTGAATTCACAGGGTTGAACTGGTTTTCATCAACACCACCCAAAGTGCTTTATTTGAAGTGAATCTCTTCCTTTGTTTTGACTTTTAACCTGCATCTTCTTATACCATTGTTTTTTTATCATCCTATTGTGTATAATTGCCCCTAGGCTGTTGGTCATCCATATAATTTTTTTCCTCCACACATTCCTTTCCAGTCTGGGGATCGATTGTGATTGTTGACCCAGGATGGGAAAAATTACATCCTATTAGCATTTTGCATCCTTTTACATTTCAGTTGGCTTCTTAGGGCAAAAATCATCATGCATTCATGAAATCATCAAGCTTTAATTCCTTTGTTTTAAAATGCATATGTAAATCATACACTGGCTATTCCTGTGATACAAAAATGACACTCAGCCGTATATTGTGATGATACCAAAAGAACCTAGAGTGTGGTGGATTGTTGTTTCACTTTGGGAAGGAATCGTCTGGGTATAGTCTGTATTCGTGTTATCTTTCTCTTGTCTAAGTAAAAGTTTGTGAATTTTGGCGACTTTGAGATAATTTTGCCATGTTCCTGTATATCTCATTATGGTTTGGTGATATGAATCTTTTTGTTACCGAGATAGTATTGTATAATGTCTCGTCACTTTCACAGGCAGTTTGCTAACTCCAAATTTGGATCACCTTATTTGGGGTTGACGTTGATCATATCCTAAATGATCCATGTTTAAACCAATGTATTCTCATTCTTAATCTATTTCTTTATATAATACTTTAATCGACTGGGATATGGAATCAGATACCTGAAATAAAATTAAAAGAAAAAAAAAATCTTTCAGAGTCATTAAAATTGTCAATAAATTTTTGTCAGAGTAGACTTATGTCACTATTAATCTGTGAAATTTGAAAGTTGTCATTGGTTGCTTGTGTATGGAAGAACCAAAACGCACGGCCAGTTGGTCAGTTCTAATAATTTCTGATACGGACAATAGTTAAGAATACTGAAAAATCAACTTAATTGTTTCTATTACTGCTAAGTATATTTTATTTCACAGTTATTTCACTTTTTATGCTGTCATGTTTTCACTTTCAAGATATATACATCTTAAGGCGGGATTTTGTTTATAATAATTGTCTATAGGGTAAACGTGATACTTTTTGTCCATTAAAATAGGTTTAACCTTGCGGGTTATCTAAAAAATTATATTAAATTAAAAAAATTGTTTTAAATATGACTTATATGGTAATCTTAAGTCATAATTTGTGGTTTAACTTATTTTATATAATAATAATAATAAATTTTTAAATAAAAATGAAAGTAATATATTTTATTAAAAAAATATATGTATTTCTAATATAATTAAAATACATTCAGATAATTTTTTTGAATTCTTAAAATAATTTCATCAATTAAACAAGGAAAATAAATTTATGTCTTAGAAAGACTATCATTTTTTTCCTAAAATGTGTCTTATATTAAGGACCAAAGGGAATATGTTACATTTATTAAATTATGTAATGTACAAAATAAATTATTTAATTATAATAATATATTATTCTGATATTAAAAAAAAATTACTAACATTTTTTACCAATCAAACAGAAATTAATCTTTGTTATTAATTATAATTTTTAAGATTCATCCTAGAAATCATAACGTTCATATTTTTTATATAATTATTTTTTTAAAATATTATTTTAAATTTTATTTCATTTTCTTTTTTAAATATTTTATATATATATATCCTTTTTTTTCATTTTTCTTTTTTCGATACCACCAAAAAATATTACAAATCAAATCTCCATATATATATATATATATATATATATATATATATATATATATATATATATACTGTTTTTTATCCTTATTTTTTAATTTGACAGTTAAAAAATTAGAATCATTAAATTAAGAAAAAAATATCAATACATTAGGATGAAAACTAATTTTCTTTGGATATATATATATATATATATATATATATATATATATATATATATAAAACTTATATAATACACTGAATAATAAATTAACCCAATTTATTTTAACATAAATCATACAATTTTTTTCTCAGAATTCATGTTATCTTATATTTGTATTCTTTAATTTTAAAATAAGCATTCACATTCATTATGTTATAAATAAAATATTTATCCTTGGATTTAAATTATCCGCAAATATAATAACAACTCAATATAAATAACTACGTATTTTTAGTTTATTTATTTTATATTAAAATAATATTTTTTATAAAATTATAATTTTTTTACATTTTTATAAGACAATAATGTAACTTTTTTTGTCATTGTTAATATATAATAATTAAATTATTCATTTTTTGTCTTATAAAAATATATTATTTTTAAAATTTGAATGTATAATTTTTATAATTAATTTATTTAAATTTAACTAATATGTTATTTTTAAATAAAATAAGAAATATGGAGTTACTTTACTAAAAATATAGTGAGGGATAAATATCATTTTGTAAATAACTAAATACAAATTTTTAATTTTTATATAAATTGATAAAACATCATATTATGTCTATAAAATAAAAAATATAACAAATACTTAAATGATAGTTATATAAATATAATATGGGTTCTCATTTATTGATAAAAGAAAGCTACACACAATTTTAAAAAATTAAAAGCATCAAATTTCCCAAAAACTGATATTTGTAACTGACTATTACCTAGTTTGTATGGGTGACCAAAATTTGATGGTTCTAGATTGAATGCTTACTTTGTAGAGATGATAGAAAACAATTAATCAAGATAAAAAGGCTGATTTTATATTTTAATTTTAATAGTATGAATTATTTTATCTTAGAGTAAATATGATTTTATATTTTAAGTTCTATAATATAAATTATAATTTTAATTTATTCTAATTTGATTAGTTTCTGATAGTTAAACCCAATAAATTGATTTTAAAAGATTTAAATTCAATTTTTTTTTATCTATTTTCGATTTTATTTTTAAGTTAATTCCATTTTGAATATCCAAAAAATTAAAAAGAAGAGAACATAATTAAAAAAATAACAAAGAAAAGAGATTTTTTTATATAATTAAAATTGATATATAAATATATTTAGATAAATAAATTAATATATTAATATTTTTTTCATTACTTCCAAAGTATATTATTTTATTAATTTAAAAATTTTCAGAGAGAATATGAATTAGTTTATTTTTTTATTGTGTATAGATTTACTAAATTTGAGCCATTTTCTATCTATTTTTTTTAATCTATAGATAGATATGAGTTATTAGTAATATTATTAAATTAAGAAAGAATAAAGAACGAGATAATGGGTAATTATTACCAAGTGTGCAAAGATAATCTTTTCAAGGTTCTGTGTCAATCCAACAATCCAATTTTTGGTGACTAAAACTATTTCTGAGACTATTTATATAATTTTTGTAAGAATAAAAAAAATAACATAGTATTTTTATAGTAAATAATTATCTGTTTATCACATTAAATAAGAGGAATTCACTATTTATATTACAATAAAAAAAATTAGTAGTTTATCTTAAATAAGAAGAATGCACTATTTATATTGCAGTAAAAAAAATTTAACTAAAAACAAATAAATTTGCACCTCTCCTATGCAAACATTATCGTGGATAAAGTAGTTAAAAACATTGTTTTCCAAAAATATTACATTTAAAAAAATAAATTAAACATTAAAAAACTTGTACAAAGCTAGAAAAATTGCTGTATCATGAAGTTTGATTAAGGGAACAAACATATAATATGAATAAATTATCTAAAAAACATAGACATTAAAAATAAAATATGTATTTTCTTATTTTATGATAAGAGTATTTTGAAAAGAGTACCAAGAAAATAAAAAATTAATATAATTAATTTATTTTTGTTCAATACGTTTGAAATTAGTCTTTTATATATTGTATATATGAGAACGTATTTTCAACAAATTTTCATCGATTTTGAGAAAACGCACGTTGAAAGCCCGAACAAGAACACTGCAACTAACAAGAAGTGTGTTTTTGTCCTATGAGACACTTGAAAAGCCATGATACGAATATGTTTGTCTAGGTACAAGTTAGGTTTTTTCCATGTTCTACACAATTTTAGTTTTAATGGAGAAGGGGTCAAATATTGGTAACTTTCTTACTTTAAAGTTAGTTCAGAGAAAGTGCTTGTAAGCTTTTCTGATCTGACTGCCACCAATGTATATCTCATAAAGCAGTGGTTTGGATGTGAACGAGATTCCCCATTCTCACTTTTGTTTCTCCCTTCCATTTTAATTCCTTTTTTAATCCATATCTTCCATGTCGAATTTTTAGTCTTCGACTACTATGTCTCATAGTGCCTCTCATTGGAATGAACACAAGTGTACAGGCATTTCTAAAACTATCTTAGCTTCCAAAATGAACAGCATCTCCACTTTGAGCATCTCTCTAATGACTGAATGCATTAATCTCTTACTTGACTCTTCAGTTCCTGATTTAAGGAAACAGTGTCACTCACATCTGTAATGTCTTTGTGTGGATAAAAATGCTTCAACAAATGCAATAGTAGACACAAAAACTGCGCCCTTCTCTGTTTACTCCAATTAAGAGCAGTGCATATTTGCCAATCAAGAGTTTAAAAGAAATAACCAATTTAGAGAGAGAATCCTGATTGTGTGAGGTGTATTGTTTACAAAAAGTGCTTTTAGTTTTTGCCAATCCAAACAAAAAAAATGCATAGTTTATACTTATTCCAATTATTGGTATGAACAATGCTGAGCCACACGAAATCAGAATGCTCCCCTTTCCCAGTGATTAGTATAAGAAATTCCGGAGATCTGGAATGCTCAATTGCGTACATGGGCAAAGATTATATTAGATATGCAGGCAAAGATAGAAGCAAAATAAAGATATCCATGTGCATGGAAAAATCTTCATCATCATGTGTGCAAAGAATATTATTGATGGTACTTAGGGCACTGGAACCTTTTTGGTTGTATATAGTACGTACTTGTAGGAATGGGATGGTACATATGCAGGTGGGAATATGTCTAGTGTTTCTTACTTAAGGCCTAATAATAGTCTTCTGTTGCCCACATTACAAGTTTCTACCATATTTGCTAAAAACAGCAAAAATTTAAGGAAGCTTAATTAGTCCATTAGAAACAATCATTATCCACATATATTATGGTCTCTTAAAGGATGATTAAGTTAACAATTTCCTTGCTTTAATGTAGGATTAAACTCATAATGCTATTGTTCCCTCTCTTTTTTGCTAGTGCACCCACTAAGGGCATTCCACATTCCACATTCAACTCTCCATGCCTGTCTCCATCCATTGACTAAGAAAAGTGACGAAAGCCCAAATGTGAGGACTGAAAGCACCATTCCACCAAAGTGGTGATAGGTACCACGGAAAAATTGAAATCTACGACATGTTTTAGCAGCTTTCACCTCCCATTTCAAATGAATCTGGTGTTCGCCATTTGAGCGTTGAGATAGGTAAAATTAATCCTATGTTCGTCAGAAAAATAGACAGACAAGCACATACGATAAATTATGCCTCATACTGATCATATATACTTGTAACGAAAGTAGAAAATATAACATGTAGATCTAGTTTTGGAGGATTATGATGGCGTTGAAGATGTTGTAACAACGGATTTAGTGGAGGCCACTTACAAAGACTTCGATGATCAAGTTAGATATGACTTAAAAAGCTAGGCAAATACATGTGATTCTTGAGTCCGATATTAAATACTTGGATTTTGGTGAAGATCATCACTTAAATTGTGTCACTAGTTCAGAACAAGACTAATCTCTCTCAATAAGTTTTTCTGTGCACAGACTTTGAAAATCAAAATTTTAATGATGTGTTTAAGAGATAAGATTATATATCCACCAAGTAATATTATGTTGGTAAAAATAAAAGTATGTTGACTTGCAAAAAAGTGGAGAAGCTGAAAGGGGTAGCTGATTTTGAGCCATGCAGGGAAATGTTGGCAATGTGCACATGCAAACAATTACTATCTTTTTCTTTGATGCAATTATGTATAGGTCTATAGAATAGTGCCGTTGACTTAAGTGTTGTGGGTTAAAGCCTACAAGTTATTGCATTTCATCATCACCCTGTTGCTATTGGGTGGGGTTCACCATGACAAGAGCTCTCTCGTTGCCAATATAAAAAAGGGTCCTTCTGCTTGCATTTCCCTGCCAAGACACGTATATTTCATGTTCTCAGTTCCAATTCATAACCGATCATAACAAGAGGAACCATATACACACCTTCATACTTGTCATGGCCCTTAAGATCAAAACTTTCCTTCTACTTCTTCTCTTGCTCCTCATTCCCTTATCTTCAGGTGAGCATGATCTTTATATACTTGAATACAATTACAAACATTTAAGTCGTTTTAGACACATAACAGAAGTTTTATTTCCTTATAGGATTGGGTGAAGGCTTCAGGGAAAACATGCATCCTACTCATGCCTTACTTTTAAAGGTACCCTTCTAAATGTTACTCTTCTTACTTTGTAAGCCAGAATAATTAGAAATAAATATGGATGGAGCTACATTGAGGGGAACATAGATGTTTGCTTTGGTTTATAATGTGGCACATGGTGTCCACAATGGTTTGAAATTTTGAAAACTGAAAGTTCTTATATAACTAACAAGTTCTTTTCTGCATACTGGTTTGAATGAAGGATGGTATGAAGGTGAAGTCAAGGAAGCTATTTGGTCATGATTTTGTGTTGGATTATGATGAGGCAGGACCCAACCCAAGGCACAGTAAGAAACCTGGGAAGGGCCCTTGAATACCTTAACACCTAATACTGAAATAAATTAACCCAAACACAACACCATCATCTCTCTTCCTACTCAATGTTTTGGTCGTGTATGAGGAGATATATGTAAACGAGTTTCTTCATCTGAGCCACTGCTTGTGTATGTCATGAGGCAATAAATTAGTATCATATTTTATTATTATATATGTACACCAAATGCATATGGATGGGTATGGACCATTAAACCAAGAATATTATAATAAAGTTTTTGCTTTCAAATTAGCAATCATGTTTGCCATGTGTGGAAGGTTTTTACTACAATTTCTTTAAGTGCAATTGTTTTACTCGATTACGTGATAATCATAAATCAAATTCTGAAAGTGAGCAAACTTTTAGGTCATATTTTGTATAAGCTAGTTTTAGGTGATACCAGCATATTCAATAAAGAGTAGTGATATTTTGACAACCAGAAACCATACAACTCTTTAAACAACTCACTTTTATTAATATAATAATCTATAGACTGATTTAATAAAAATAAAAATAAAATAAAATTATTATTATAATATTAAAATAGAGTTGTTTACGAAGTTATATGGATTTGGGTTGTCAAAGTATCATTTTCCTTCAATAAAATTCATATCCGTATAGAATGAGTCCAACCATTCAAAGTTCTTTGTCATTAATATTATAATTAATACATTCTGTTTCTAATATTAAATTATTTAAAAATGAATTTTGGTCATTAAAAGTTCTTAAAAAAATTTGGTCATTTCACTTTTGAATTTTTATGAATAATAATAAATTTATATATAATTTAATTAAATTTATTATATATTTTTAGGTGAACAAATCTATTATTATATACAAATGTAAACACATAGCATATTATTTATATCGAGTAGCTAAAGTAACCAATTAATTAATCACACTTGTAATTAATTGATCGACTTTTTATACTTCCACTTTTTAGGTAATCTGTATTAACTTTTTTTTATCTTTTAATTTATTTATAAAATTTTGGCTAAATTTAAGATTTTCAACTAATCATGTAAGAGAAAACTTGTCTGATAAATTATCTTCTTTTTGGGTTTTTTTACAATATACCCAAATTAAAAGTTATAGTCTTCTTTTATAAGACAATTTTAGAAACATCTCTTGCACTAATTATTTAATTCAAATTAATTCTGAATTCAATAGGTAATTGGTGAAATTCAATAGTTTTTAAAGAAAATTGCAAAATTAAGACATATTCAATATTATTATAACTCCCTGTTTATTTTTATAGGCATATTAAGGACTTTAACATTATTTTTAAAAGGCCTCTTTTTCTCCTACGAATCATAAAAATTATTTGGATTAATATATATATATATATATATATATATATATATATATATATATATATATATATATATATATATATATAATTGGCGAAATTGCTTGCGTTGATATTTTCGATGAAGCAATGATATTTTCTTAGAGATTTTATTTCTTGAAGCCACCTGTACTTTTTGAAATTGACTTTTTTACTCTCATTTACACATTGAACAGATTATTATTAGTAGATAATATAATTTGTGACTTAAATATGATTTTACTATTTTACTACTGGTACTTTTTTAGTAATGTGACGGTTAATAAATGATTGAAATATTAATATATTTTATTATATCTTATATTATATTATTTCTCAACAAACAAAGAAAGAAATAAAGATATAGATGATTATTCAAGGTAAACAAAGAAAATCCTTGCTTCCGATACCAAGAGGGGGATAGGAGGTACAGAGGAAGCAGGAAAACCCAATAAGGGAAAAACACATTCCTGACAATGAAAACATTTCTATGATGAATATTGTAGAATGTGAAAAAGAAGAAGATGATGATATGACTGATGAGGAATGGAATCATCATCAGGCTATCATAGCCATGTTTAGACAAGGAACTTCAAATTTCTTGTCTCATACAAATAAAAATGTCCAAATTAATGAAGAAGACGATGTCATTAATAAGATGGACGATATTATAAATGCATTCTTAGATGAATATTTTTCTGATAAAGAAAATGATACATTAGATAATGTATCTAAAGTCTCATAACCCTTACCCATATTAGGGTTAGATATTTTTTTAGGTACAGAGAAAGCAGGAAAACCCAGTAAGGGAAAAACACTGCTCAGATACCCGAGGGCAGACAGAACAGAGAAAACCGGGAATGAACCCAGAATAAACTGCCCTGAGACCCGAAAGGGGGATGGAAAGGAGGAAAGTAAAGAGACAGGAAAACAAATAAATTAAAACATGTTATAACTATTTATCTCTTCTGTCGGTCAACGTGGCTACTTAGCTCACAGAGAACCTGAAACCGGGCTAGCTAAAATGAAGACTGTCCGAGATAAAGTCGGTTATAGCAAGAAAAGTGTTCACCATAAGATTATGAGATGACTGAATCTGGCATAGCCGGTTAGACATCTCCTCATAAGCTTACGCATGAACGAAATTAAAAGCAGAAAAGTAAAGACAGGAAAAATAAACACACAAGTCCATGATAAGATTATGAGATGACTGAATCTGGCATAGCCGGTTAGACATCTCCTCATAAGCTTATATGAACACAAATAAAGCTGTACAAAAATTTATTTAAGCCTTTAAATGATTATCTCATCTTTTAATAAATAAAGCTTAAGGCATCCGAGGATGCCCTTATAAGAAAACTACTCCATAGAGGGGGAGTAGAGAACACTTACTTGGGGGGAAGTAGAAGGAGAAGGAGAGGGGAGATGCTGAATAACTTCTCTTATTGATAGTAAGAAATTTACATAAGAAGTAGAGAGAAGGAGGAGAGGAGAGAGTATGGAGAATGCCTAAGATGCCTCTTGCCCAGCATAAGGAACTTACGAAACATTATATAGAAATTAAAAAATATTAAACTAATGAATAGTAATTTACATGTGGGACCCACTTTATGACTTATGGGTCTTAAAACTTAACAAAGAAGTAAATGAAAACCTACGAAGGAAAATCTCCTCACTAAAAACAAAAATAGTAACATCACTAAAAGACAAAAATAGTGACATTAATTCATTTTTTTTTTTTTACATTTATCAAAAGACTGATTCAATCTTACCGTCATTAACATGCAAGGCTTAATGGACCTAACAACATGTAACGGAAGAGGAATCGTGACAAGGTAGCAAGATATCATTATCTGCCATTAACCTTTGTCGTCTTTTGATACAGCCGTTATGACGTAAGGGCTTACGTCATGAGAAGCTCCTTGAAATCTTCAAGGGCAAAATGTTCTTTGTATGGCTAATGACGTGAGAGATTACGCCATTAGGAGTTCCTCGAAATCTTCAAGGGTAAATTCGTCTTTATCAGAAAGACTCATTGGTTGTGGGGAGGCGGGATTTGTACAGTTCCGCCGTACATAAGAAGTTTTGCCAAATTTCACCCAAAGACTGATGGTGGTGGTTTCGGCTAACAACTCTTTATGGATATCTTCATCTTGGAATTAATCATACCTCGCTGTAGTGAAAGGAGGATTATTATGATCAATCTTTTGGAGGTTATCACTGAAACATATATCAGTGAATGACTTAGTATCCAGAAACAAGTGATGTTTAGCTGGATAATATTCTCCTTTTATGTTGTAGGGGTGTGTTGAGAATATTTCAATGAAATATTCCTCACTGTATGTGTTTCGAAAGAACGCATTTATCCAGTAATTTATCTTGGTACCGAAAAATGGTTCTATCATCGTGTTTCTAAAAATAATCATCATTTTCATGAATCCTGAAAAGAATAAATCTTCAGTTAATTGTTTACTGATCCAAGCAGGATCGCATTCCACCAAATAAGGGTTTATTCCAATGTTGTACTGATCAGAAGATGAGGGTGTCAAATCATCTTGATATTGGACTATCCTCAAGTATTGGCAGAGTGTAGAATCTACTGGTAATAGGAATAACCAGTTTTGTAGTGCTCCAAGTTCTACTAACAAGGCAACAAAAACATGTTCGTAGATTTTTTCTTGGATTGGGCCGGGAATTTGTCCCAAAATTTTTCTTTTGAATGACCCAACATAGGTCATTTTATTTGTAAAAATTCCATAATCAATGGTTTTGAAATCATAGTCCATCTTTTTACAGAGTTCTAAGATTTCGGTTTTTAAATTTTTATTTTCTATTTCCAAACAGGAAATATGTTTTTGAAAATCATTTTTCTGAAAAGAATGAGTTTTTCAATTTTTGTTCCATTTTCTTGGCAAAAGCCAAGCGTTGTCTAAGTTTAATGGAATCATAAATTGAAAAATTCTTTTGTTTTGTTGGTTTTTCAAGAATGAAATTACCAACTTCGGGATGGTCCAACAAACTGTTGTCACCTCCAACATAGCTGACCATCGCTTGTACTGCTTCTTCAAGGTTATCAAATCCTTGAATTTTGCTATGTTTGTCATTACCTATCGCCTTCAACAGAGAGGGATATGATAGGTAGACGCCACGCTTGTCTCCAGTAAAAAGGCAGTAGGCCTCTTTCTTGAGTTTTTTAAAAACAACGGGCAACATTTTTGCAAAGTAATAATTTAATGCATTAATAGCATTAAACTTTGTTGTTGTACTACAAGCTCGGTGAAGAGCATCAAGTAGTACCTTTTGTTCCCTTGAAATGGGACAGTGCCTCAGACATTTGAATTGTTGAGGGTGACCTTCTGGTAAAACCGGAAGATGCTATGTTCCAAACTTTAGAGTATCAAACTCTTCAGTTGTTGAGGCTGATAACTTGCCTTTGTTGATTGGGTTTGTCATATTAGTACCTGTATAACTGAAGGAACTCTGCAATACCCTTTTGTTAGTTTCCTTAAAAGAGGAGACTGTAGTATTCATTAGACAATATCCAGAATTATCTAATATATTTCCTAATTCATTATATTTATTATCCAGTTGGAAATCATTTTCATTTGGATAAAGGTGAATGAATTCATCATTTGTGAAATCATTTATTAGGCCATAATCTTTATGGCTTTTGTCTAAATTGATTTCATCATTATACTTTGTAATACTAATCACTGATAGTATTTCAGAGTCAGTAGAAACATCTTCATCTATTGGAAGAAGGTTCATGTGGCAGGATTTTATCAATTCTGCCTCTTTAGTGTAAAGGTTTGTAATGTTAGGACAATCTCTAGATAAGTGTCCTGGTTGATTACAAGCGAAACACTTCAAAGTTTGCTTGTATGTTTTGTTTTCTCTAAATTTTCTGACGTGTCTATCAGGATTTAGAGTTGGTTTTCTAGAATTTGAAGACTTAATCTTGTAAGTCTTTCTAGAAGTTGTGGGTTTTTGTCTTTTAGAATAAGAATTCTGATTGTAGTTTTTATTATACCTAGGTTTACTTCTAGGTATAGGCCTTCTGTAAGGCTTGTTTTGATTATACTGTTGAGGAGTATAGATTTGTTTGCAAATTCCAGCATCGAAATTTTTCAATTGCTTTTGTATAGCAATATGTGTACACGTATCTTCCATCACTTTCATGATGTGTCGTATACGTCTAGAGAGGTTGTTCAACATGGGAGTAACCTCTTCATTTTTCCAGGATTCTCGGATCTTTTAGCCAAGTTTTCCTGGTAGTTTGAGAAACATCTTTTCTTCAATGCTTAAATCATGGAAATATCCAGCTATGGATGCGTACATGAGATAATCTTGTAAAATTTATTTTATCTTTCCAAAGTATGTTATGGAAAATCTTTCTAAATGACCCAGATAAATCTGTTGTCTGAGTGTGTTCCCATCATTAACAGACTGGGAAGTAAGCAATTTTTGTAATAAAGAACAAAAATTGTATATGTTAGGACCTGGTTCGATCACAAACATATTTAAGTCGAGCTGGGTAATTTTTCTTAAAAGATTCCCAGCAAGCTCTAGCTATATCACCTAAATAGGTTTCAGACTTTAGCAATCATTTCTTGAGAAGAGTGAACATCTTTCTCATGATGTATGCCATAATCACGGATTACAACTGCAGTCCATTGCTCAATGTATGTTGGCAATAGTTGAGGATCTATTCCTCCTATGTTTAAAAGAAGATTAGGCATTTGGAAATTTGGCTCTATCGGAAGCCTCTTGCCTAATGTTGTGTATTGGTTGTCGCTAAAGACAACATTTTGTGGTGATACTCTAGGTGGAAAACCAGTAGAGTAACTGTGTATACCATCAGGTAGTAACTGATAGCTGTGAGGTTGATAACTATTTGATCCCTCATTTGTATTTAATAACCCTAATGTTGATAAGGGTTCTGAAATTATGGATACATTATCTAATGTATCACTTTTTATGTTGTCTATCCAAGACAAATGTTCTTTGATTAAAGATACATTATCCAGCGTATCTTTATCATTTGTGTCTTCTAACCCTAATATGGGTAAGGGTTCTGAGACTTTAGATACATTATCTAATGTATCATTTTCTTTATCAGAAAAATATTCATCTAAGAATGCATTTATAATATCGTCCGTCTTATTAATAACATTGTCTTCTTCATTAATTTGGACATTTTCATTTGTATGAGACAAGGAATTTGAAGTTCCTTGTCTAAACATGGCTATGATACCTGATGATGATTTCATTCCTCATCAGTCATGTCATCATCTTCATCTTCTTCACATTCTACAATATTCATCATAGAAATGTTTTCATTGTCAGGAATAGCAGAAATGCTATGCCTATTTTCCACTGGCCTATCTTGTTCTAGGTCTAGTCGTGGAATATTTCTATAGTCTGTGAAACTTAGACTAAGTCCTCTAGATCTGTTATGCAGAATAGCAGATGAAGGGGCAGTGACGGGAGTATCTTCTTCCCTAGGTAAGTGCGTTTGCCACAAGTGTCCTTCATTTCTCCTTGTGAAGGCTTGAGCTGGCAAAAATTGTGTACCATGAGAGTTGATAACTTCCTCTAATGGTCTTGTATCAATCCTATACATGGAAGAAATATGATTACTAATTCTTCCAATAAAGGTGATATCTAAGTGTAGATTTTTGCCCACCCAATTGGGTCCAAATCCTACTGTTTGTACTTCTAGACTTATGTGGTTAACAAAATCTGGAAGTGTAATTGTAAAGTTTGGTGCTAGGTATATCAATGAAAAAAGGTTGATTTAAATCTACCTCTAAAATACCTATCACACTTTGTGAATCATTATTTTGGAATCTAGAGTCATGTAGAACTATCAAAGCTCTAGCTCCAATCATATGCCTAGCCAAGGATCTAACTCCAATGGTAATCAATCCCATATGGACATATCTTCCTTGTTGGCCTAGTAGTTGCCTACCAGTTTGTTGAGATATCAGAGGAATTATCTCATAAGTGTTGTCTGGAAGATGAAAATCTTCTATTCTTCTATATCGGTAAAGGCTAGTCCTTTCTGAACTTAACCATCCGATATTGTATAACTGCCTAGGATTCAAGGAATCTATCCTTGTATTTGATCCTATCTCAGTATTTTGTTGTATATCTACTAAGTCTTCCAAACGTCTGACATTAGTAGATTTTTGCCTATTTAGGAATTTATCCAAGATTCCTGGATGTTGTATCAGGTTTTGACTCCTGGTTTGATGTTCCCTTAATCTTCTGGGGACTCCAGGAAATCTATGTGTTTTATTAAAATCTGTTGTATTATTCATATTAACAGTTTCTAATTGTGTTTGTGTGGAGTTAATTGGTCGTGTAAACATAATTAACTCACAATTTTATTTGTAGAAGAAGAAACTTCTTCTTTGTTGGTCTGATTTTTAAGACCATTTGTAGACACTTTAACAAATTTCTGTGTATTTTTAGAAATTGTCTTAGTGTATGTATTGGTTCCTAAAGATAATTTAGAAACCTGGCTAATAAGATCATCTATCTCATTAGATTTGTTTGTGTTTTTGTTTAAATCTATTAAACAATTTAATTTTCTAGACATTTCTTCCAGAAGTGCTATTATCGTGTTGTTTTGTCCAATTAGGACTGTGTGTGTTGTCTACTTCTGAAGTAGGCTTTTTGTATCCCACAGGAGGGGATTTTGTGATTTGTTCAACAGCTACCAAAGCTGTTTTATAGTCTTTGCCTAAAAAAGGCTGTGTGTTGAAAGGTTGTGTAGTGCCTACCAAAGGTTGTGTGGTGAAAGACTGCGAACCTTCCATTAAAATTTTTAAAATAAATTAAAAAAAAAAGGCGGGAAATCAGAGAGCAAGAAAGTAAGGCAGCAGACAAGTGGAGGAGGGATAAGGAAATCCAAGGAATACACAGTAAAACAATATTTATAAAATAATATAGATAATCATAAGGCTTAAATGAAAATATTTTTGTTGATTTTATACAATTTTTGGTTTATATATATATATATATATATATATATATATATATATATATATTAAAGTGATAAAAAGAAAAACACACATACAAGAAAGAGAATTTAAAAAAAACGAAAATATTTTTCTTTGCAAACTGCCGCAATATGCAAAGTATTTCTCAACCCACAAAGGTACTTAAATATTTTTGCAAACCCTTACCCATATCTAAAATTGCACAATTAGATATTTTTTTAGGAATATAAATGATTTATGAAAGTATAAAAATATATTAAATAAATTATCTAATTTTTAAAAGAGTAACATGTTATAAAAAATAAAAAATTTATATAATATTGATAGATCAATTAATATATTTATTCTGTTATATATTTTTAATTTTAACTTATTACAACTTTATTTTATTTTTATATGATATTTTAATGAATTAGAATATATATAATATCATTAATGTGGACCGAAACTTACAAATATATATAACAAACAAGTAAATGTTTAATTGCGACCCATTTTATTTATTGATTTGACAAATATGAAGGTGAAAGAGTGTTAAATGTGGGTTTCCAATTCCTGTGGCTGACATAGCGTTTCGTAAAGAACTGGATTCATAGACCAAAACAAGGAAAAAAAAGTTAGGTTCTGATCTTTCTTATTGTGCACCTCCCATACACGCATTTTTGGTGGTAAATATTGACAATGACATCACAGATTTCTCTTCCTTAATTTTGGTCAAATGTTAGTTTGTTTAAAACTTAATATTTCCTACTTACCCAACACGTTGAAACCCACCATTTGTGTCATAACCCACAAATATTCCTCTTGGACTTTGCAATGATGCCAATTCCTTCAACAATTTACTCAAAATATCAGACTCCAAAGATGTGAAATCAGAACAACCCTTCCAATTGGATCCAGTTAAGAACACACACACACAAAAATCTAAATCAGATTGTTTTTATATGCATTACAGCCAAGCTTTGTAAATAGGTGAGGCTTTTGGTCATGTTGTGTAAGTAAGAATCCAAAGTTGTGAAATTAGAAGAACCCTTTTCTCTATCCAATTGGATCAATTTAAAGAATACAAAAGAAAATCTAAATCTTGATATATGCTTGTGAGTAAGCTTTTCTGTTATACAGTGTAAATACTGCAGCATCCTGATAGTTATTTGTAGCTTTTTTGTTATACTGTAGCTTTTTTGGATTACTTTATTTTACATCCAAAAACAATCAAATGTTTAAAAGAATACTTTTGGGTAAAAAGTTACTTGTGTAATTAATTAATAAAAAACCAAAGTGCTTAAACTGTTCATTTTCAACTTAAAGAAGTCAAACCTCATTTAGATGGTGTAGTTAACAAATTTAATCTTGATCATGGTGGCGCAGTTTCAAATATGTACAGAAACTAAGAGAATTTTTTGTCAAAGAAGTGTGCTATGAAGCAGGTGATCCACTTGCATACAGCTAGGAATAACTGAAACTTTAGAATCAGAACAAGATGAATCCTTAAAAAATATATTTATTTTAACAATTCTTTGGTGCCCTAAACCAAGTAGATTCTAGGATGTGAGGCATGTACAATTAAGATTATACAGGCAAGAAGCTCAGAAGTATATGTCTGTTATATGTACATAACTGGTGGAGTTTTTGCATCTATAAAGAAATCTGTGATGAAAACCAGATTCCAATAGACACAATTCCAATGGTAGCAATAGCTTGGACAAGCTCAAATATAGTATTTTGTTGCTCCAGTGGCACATTCTGCCAATCTGTGCGCCTGCAACCACTCAAAATAAGACACGGTACAATCAATTGGGGTAACAGTCAAATTTGGTAAACAAGAATTGATGATATTAGAAAAAAAAAAAAACACTTATGCAACAACTTCAGCTTAAATATAATTTTCTAAATGCTTCAGACCACATTTTACTAAAGTTTGCCTTGTTTGCTGCTATGATGAAATAAAAAAGACTGCTTTAGTCTGCAATTTTGATCTTCTAATTTAAGATGAAGTCAGATAATGCCCTATATTTTTCAAAATTAGTAATTTTAACCCTACCCTCCAAATTAAGCATTGATGGTTAAGATACTAATATGTTTAACTAAATAAACGTATTTATTTGTTTTAGAGTGATTTCAATTATTTTACATTCTTTAAAAAGTATTTTGACATTTACTTTCACATGTCAACTTAATATTCTAATTGTCAATGTCTTAATTTGTACTATTATACCGAAATCATTTTTCTTTTAAAAAAAATTAAGGAACTTAAATGTCTGTATTTTAAAATAACATACTAAAATTAAGGTTTTAAAAAAAGGACAATAAAATTGTATTTATAAGGGGAAAAGAAAAAACTCAACTACGCATTATGTTAGTCCCAGACTCCTAGTTCTGTTCTTCACAGAGGCCTGGCCTATAATCAGGACTTGAATACCAACAAGCAAAATCATAAATATGTAAATGAGAAAACACATACCCTAAATCAGCAATTATAATGCTGACATTATCCTGTGTCCGTCGGTCCTGTAGAGAATATCATTATATTACTAAAAACTTTGTTAAGTGTCAATAGAATATGTTCATGATGATAACTCTCATGAGATTTGTTAAAGCTTACCAAAGCGGCTTCTGCAAGTGATTCACATGCTAGCTGAATTTGAAACAAGAGAAAACAAAGTATTATATCTGCAACTTCGCTGGCTTATTGATACTAGTGTTGTGGTTTCAAATATAAAACATTGTACATACCTGAATGTTTCCGTGTTTTCTTAGTTGATCCCTCACTAAAGAAACTGCTTCTGAGCTGCAATAATAGGATAGGAAGAATGTGAAGGTAATTTCTTACAAACCAAAAAAACAAAGAAAGGTGGCAGAACTGATTCAAAGGATGATGTAATAGACCTGCTCATGTAATCCCATAAGCCATCGGATGCTAAGACTATAAATTCTGTATCTGAGCCAAGAGCTACCTGATAAATATCAGGGCATGCTACAACCAAGTCATTGTTGAGCTGTACACTGTTCAAGGCATCCTTATGTTAAAATTTATAGTTTTGTTATAAAATTAGACGAAGATCAATTTGAATGCGACAGTACAACACTAAGTCCGAATATATCATGTCATTGTTGTATTTTGCAGAATCAGGTTGAAGCCAACAAAAATAGGAGCTTCATTCAGATTTTGATTATTTATTTCAGTACACAACAATCAGGACCTCCAATTCTCTTTCTAGTTCTTCGAATGTACATTTAGATTTATTTCAACCCTACAAACCAACTTATAAAATAATATTTTCACTTGTTTATACACTCTAATTAGTTATATCTTTAGAAGATATCAGATATCCAAAACACTCTTTCACCCTGATGACTGAACTTCTTGAGAATGAGACTAAATATTTACAAGTAGTTCAATATTACAAGTTGTTCAATAGGGAATAATTGACTCAACAAAACTAATTATAATAGACTTTTGATACCATCTTAAATTTTGGATTTAGGCACAAGGTAACCTACAAAACCGGCTTAAAATAGGTTTATTTTAAACCTATTTTAACCTTATTTCTAGAGAATGCCAAATCTCTAAGCCTAGTAGTTATTTCTAGCTAGATATGAATCAAGGTAAAAAAACTAATCTCCATTCTCTTAACTAAATGCTAATAACACAACCTGTATTGGAGAAAATGTAAGGAACATGAAGACACTTAAGATTACCTACCGAGAGATGAACTTTGCTGACCATTTTCCTTCCTGGACTCCTTTTTGCAGCATCCTTTCACACGCAAAAGGTAGATTTCCTTTAGGAAACACTCAAGTTATGGTGGTTCATTTATAGAAAATTAGGAGAAATTCCTTTACACTCCAAAGGATAGTGAAGAGATTAAGGACCATACTCATTCTTCTTTGTTTTGAATCTCAAGTCCCCAAATGCACGAGATACAGCAATGTCTCCACAAATTCTACCATTGCTAATCTATATATATACAACATATAATTGTGTTATCATTAGCCATGTAGTGGTCGTTTATTTATAAAGAATGGTGATGAAGTGCACAAGGTTCCCACCATTTGGTGCACAAACTTCAAAAATTAAGAAAGAAACAACTTCCAGCCCAATTGAAAAACAGTTTCTTTATTAAAATCATAATTTTAAATTTTGAACTAGCCTGAAAATGAACACTTCAAAACATCAATGATATTAAAAAGAAAGAGTGGCAATTTCCTATCACATGGCGTGCTATAGTTGGAAGACACTATTACATGTGGCTCCCAACGATAAAACCACAATACATTAAACATTAGTGAATGGTTATATGCCCTACAAACCACTATTTAGTTTACATCCTAAGTTGTCAAAATTTTCAAATCAGAACTTTCGTTTTCATTGTATAGAACATTGCCATATTGACTTGGAATGATGGTCAAAAGGTATGTAAAAAACTGAAGGAACAAGGAAAACACACCCATCCTCCTGCTTCTCTGATTCTTCTAATTTCGTCAAGAGAAGTTTTGTTGCTCCCATATGGTCGGTGAGGACTAGTCAGAACTTCTGCTTTTCCAGATCTGCATAGAACCTACAAGAATAAAACAAGCTTAAATATAAGTCATGTAATTTTAAAGACATTCAATCCCTGGATACCCAAAATGAAAGATGAATAACAGAAGAGTCCAAGTCATAGTTTTTTTCTTCATAATTCTAGTAAAGAGAAACATGCATAAAGAAGTACATTTTTTCATCAAAAACTGGAGTCAAATGTATCATCTGGGGACACCATAAAGATTAATAATACATACCACAGACGAGTCACCTATATGTGAAATTAGAAGCTCATCACCTCCAATGAACACGGCAGTTGCTGTAGCACCTGATTCATCCTCCTCTCCATTCATTTCAAGCCTTTAAAAATCAAATACTACTGTCTAAACATCTAATATAGTCATACTAAATCTACAATCATATGGGAACTATTTAAATAGACACATTTCATGGAGATTATCCTTTGAAGACTAGTGTTGCGTATTGCCTTACCGTTGTAATAACCTTGTGTCTGCTTTCAGAAATGCGTCCTGCAATGCGCCTTTAATGGCTTTGAAATCTTTCTCCACTAATAGTAATCCACCTTTTAAAGCTTCAACACACTCCTTGTACAGCTCATCCCTGTAGTTAGCACTTGGCACACCAAATCAACAATTCAGATTGTGTAAAGAACAACAATTCATTTGCCAGACTCCATCCAGAATAAAAAGAAAACATATTCATATAACGCAAAGAAAGATGAATGCAAGGGTGGATAAACTTTCCATATGTTATGAAAGGAATGGAGTGGAATAAAATGAAACATAATGAAATATATTGGAAAAAACTTCTTAATAGTAGTATTTATAGTATAAAAAAATAATAAGATAAAATGAATTTAAATTTTCCTATAAGTTAACTCGTACAAAAGTTAAAATCAGGTTTTAGAAAAATTAAGTAACATAATTTTTACAAATTAACTTTTACGTAAGTTAATTGCAACTTATGAGAAAAACTTATTTCATTTTACCTTATTTTTGCATGTTTATAATGAGAAATTTATCCGAAAAAACTTAGCTCTCATTGTTTGGATTGTTTAGAATAAGATTAATTGGAACGGAGCTTGATTCAAATGGGAATACATTTCATCCCATTCAATCCAATTCCCCTCTTTTTCTTCCCCCTAATTCAGAAGGCCATGAACTGAAACCATTCTCTTCTTCTTTTTGCCATTAAATCATAAAATGACGTTCAAACAATATAACAGTAACTTATTCAACTTAATTTCAATTCACTCGATTTCATTCCACCCCAATAGACACACTGCCACTGACAACTCCAAAATCACCCATTATGAACATCAACTAGAATACAGAGCAAGTTATCATATCAAACTATATTGAGAGCATTTTTCAATTCTTTTCAAGTAATCATATCCAGTACAACCAGAAAAAAATCATTACTTCACATCACATCCCCATTAATTGGATATAAAATGAGCTAACAAAAGAAGCAGCAAGACATGAAATAATGCACCAAAGCATGCAAAATGATATATGCAACAACACCACACAGTAAAAACCAATGTGTTGAAAGACCTGAGAAACTCGACAGAAGAAAACCCTCCATGGCCATCAAAGACAGCCGCGAAAGAGAAGCCCTGAAGGCCATCGGGTCGAACAATGATGTCATCCTCCATCTCTTCACGGAGACCCTGCAAGGCTATGGATCCCCATCTTACACCGGGCACCTCAGTCAAAGACGATGGAGCATCAATGGCTATGGCAGAGCAGCACTGGCCCCTGCTAGCGGTGCTGAAGCTGTTCTTCTGCGTGATCTTGGAGGTGGAGCGGCTATGGAGCTTGCACAAGAGGAATCTTTGCATGTGTGGACTTGACAGGGCCATGATGGAGGATCCAGACAGTGAAGGAAAAGCAGAAGAAAGAAGGTGTTTTTGTGTTGAGTTTTGGTGGGGAGATAGATGGAGAGATATAGATAAGCGAGTTAATAGAAGCCTCTAACTGCTTTAACGGATTGGATTCTACCGTGAGATGATGAGATTCCCCACAAGTTTCTTGAACACGTGGAACCTTGAAATGGACCCACCCCACAACTGACGTGGCCAAACAAGAACGTGGAACGTGATGGTCCTGGCCCTACTCATGTAACACAAACACTAATGTTTGGATTTTTATATGGTCAAACCTTAATACCTTCCTTCTTTATTTCAACTTAATGTGTGGTTGTGGTTCACATGGATAAATCATGGTCCTGGAGTCAACAAGTTTGCTAGCATTTCAATCAGAGGTAAACTACGAAAACCATTTATGAGGCACAAAATATTAGACTTGTAACTTCATCTTAGGTTGAATATAAAGATCAAAACTTAAGTAGTTTGTTGTATGAATTTTGATTTTTTTTTCTTATTAGATTTGATAATTATATATAAGAACAAAAGATTTTTTTATTTACAAATAATAAAAAATAAAAAAATAATAAATTTATTCTGATATATTATATACTCTTAACAAAATATTATCTAAATTCTTCTTATTTCATCGTTTACATGCATGCATTGCATACAACCATCTAAATGTGACATGACTAGAAAGGTGAACACTAAACACATTCGCTCACAATTGGCAAATATTCAATCCAATTAGTGGTAATGAATTCGGAATGAAATATCAATCAATTTAAGTTTTAACCAGTTCTTTAAGACAAAGGTGTTTCATAGATTATTTTGTAGAAATTTGTTTGGAAATTACTTTTACAATATTTACTAAAAAAGTAAATAGGTAAATAAGACAGACAGCAATATTACTCATGAATTATGCATGGCTCTCTACTTTTCTTAATTGAAATGTATTTTATAATTTACTTGTTATTCCATTATTTTTTGAAATAATTAAGATTAATTAAAATGTGTCAAAACTATATTTTTTAATACAAGAAATATTACAAGTAAAAAAAAGGAATTAGAGTAACTATAGATGGGTTATTCATCAAACTAATTCTTTAATTTTTTTTAATAAGTTAAGGATTTTTTTAAACTAAATTTTAAAAAATAATAAGAACGAATACAAAAAAAATTTGACTCTTTTTATATGTAATAATTTGATTTATCTTCAAATAAAAAAAAGTAATAAATATATTAAAAACGTAGAAATAGATAAAGTTTTTTTTTTTTTTACACTAAAGATAGATAATATAATTTTATACTCCCACCATTTTCATTTTATATATAGTTCAAGGTTTTCTTACATATATATTAAGAAAAATAATTGATCGAGTAGAAATTTTTTACGAAATATTCTAACTGTTCATGTCTTTAAATGGTTTTGTAATAAAGAATGTGTACGAAGTCAATAATAAAAAATATTCATGTTAATGTATCCACTTCTCAACTTGTGATAATGCTTTTATAAATATAAAGATATATGCAACCGGTTTTTTACTTACATAACAAATCATTTAAAATTCATTACTAATACTACTTAACACAAAGTTTAACAAATCTGGCCCAAGATAAAATTAATATTTTTCTTCACTAAAGAATATCAGTTTGCGGGGTACAATTAATATTTTAAACCTGCAGACTAATGAATTTTTTTACCTAGTTAAAATTTAAAACAAAACACGCACAACATCTCCATACAAAACAATTTATCCAAAAACTGAATTTAAATAAATAAATATATTTTTAAAATTTAAATTACATTAATAACATTAATTTTAACTTTAGATATAATAATTTAATATTGTATCCATATCTAACTCAATGTTTCGAATTTTTTAGAACAGGTCCTCGGATGATACCTGTTTTGACAGACATGGGTACAATCCATTTTCAACTTTTGAAATGAGAAGAAAAATACCTTTTAATGTTTGGTTTAAATCTGGCTCTGATTTGCATACATACAAACAAAAGTAGCTAGTTTAGAAGGAAATAAATTAAGCCAAGTGAAGAATATATGTAAATTCTTGTCCCTAGTTTAAGATGCCAGCATTAACACTTTTTCTGTACTTAGCCATATTCTTCTCTCAAATAAAGGGGTCCGGGCTTAAAATGATCAGGCTCATAATATGCCTCTGGTCTGTAAATTCCAGCATCGTTCATTCGGTTGCTCAAAACATGAAGAATGGCTTTCTTCTCACCTCCATACTCATCCCTGTTGTTCTCAACATATTCATTGGCCTCAGCTGCTATCTCATTCACAAATTCAAACCGGTTGTCTTCTGATAACAGTAACCTCTCTATGTCCAAGGTCATCAGCTTTCCCTGTTCCCTAATCTTCCTTACCTGCTCCTCCATAAAAGGAATGCGCTCCATTTTGGGTTCCATATACTCATCCTTTTTTATCTGCAGCAGAATGATTTCTTGCTTAAACATTCAGAACAATAACATGATATTAGAGAAGGCCCCGTTTGGCTAAATGACTTAGCTAAGCACTTATTGAATAAGTACTTGTGGTCGTATGGGTACTACTTACGTATAAAGTTGATTCTACAATCAAAGAGAAAATAAATTTAAATTATTTTTGTTAGATATTTTGGAGTGTTTATTGAGCAGATCATAAATTATGTTCAAGTTATCCCAAACACTTACATAATTACTTATACCATAAGGTCAAGTCCAAATAAGCTTTTCCAAATGCATCAATTACGAGTATATTATTCACCAACATGACCATTATTTATTCATTCTTCCAAACTTAAAAAGCATTGGAGAAGTTTCAAGTGCATCAAGATCAATAAGAAGATGAGTATGCATTGAGAGTTGAGACTAATGTAACAAATAATGGGAGATGTGCAATGAAACCAAGATAAAAGGAAGCAAAGAAGTGGATTAAATTAAATTGACTTATATGAGCAAAAGAGTTTATCTTTTGCAAATAATTGTGTTCTTCAATTGTAACATACATGTAAATGTCATGGCATAGACATCAAGGAGTCATATGCAATGCATAAAGATGTAGACTGCTAATTCTGTTTCACTTTCCCAAAAAAAATCTACTTTTTCCTACAATGCAACGAATCAGTCTATGATAATACTATCAAGCTCATTAACCTCGACTCTCTCGTACATCTAGCTTAAAAAAAGTTCAGAATGGTTCAACGAAAACCCTTATTTTATAGCAAATGAACAAACATGGGTAAATGTTTAGTAGAAAATACCCATCTCCTGACTCATCAAGTTGCACTTAAAAGCAAAACCTCTTCCAATTGAGGATGATGGCCAAGAGAACTAAAAATACGAATTTATCTCACTCTAATATCCTAACTAACCCTTCCGGCTAAATAATTCAAACATCTAACTATCACTTTGCACAACAATAGTCCCGCAACTAGCACTTTACATATAGAAAAAACTTTCTAAGCTGGGAAACAAGTACAACGACACAAGCAAACCCCTTCATTTTCACTTGTTTTCATTTGGGAATTTAGACAAACAGGTAAGAGGCAGTCGTAGAAAGCAATAATTGTAAGAAAGAGAAAATGGGAGTAAAGATACCAATTTTCTTCGCCTCCACACTCGTCGTCCACGTTGCTCCTTTCGCATTTGAGGCATCATCTTGCAAAACAAATGAACGCGTAAAAAAGTTCAGCTGAGCACAAACAAAAATTGAAACTTCTTGAATATCCTCTACCTTCGAGCTAACCCAGAGTCCTGGATTTCCACCTCTTAACTCCATCTTCTGCAAACAAAAAACTTATAATAAATTAAAATTTAAGAAAATAAATTAAATTATAGTATAGGTGGGAAAATAAATATGAAATTACAGGTAAAGTGGAACTGAACGTAAAGGAGTTGATGCGGAGAGCCATGGCTAAGTATTCCTCTTATCTGGAAACTAGGAAAGTACCTTAAAAATAAGAAATTTGTACTCTTCACCAAACTCAGCCTACAAATTAAAAAAAAAAAAAAAAAAAGGTTTGTATAGACTTAAAATACAAATAAATTTAAATTTCTTTTAGTTTATTTTAAAATACTATTTTAAAACGTTTATCAAATAATTTATTTATGTTTTTATTTGGATTGAAGATTTGAAAGAGCTAGTTGGCGGGATATATATTAATTTATTTCTGCTCGTTTTGAGAAGATTTGGGATGATTCAACAATTTTATATTCTCACAAATTCACTCTAAAATAATAAAAAAAATATATCATTATTAAGTAAATCATTGTTTCATTGTAAATTAATACAACAAATAATATGTGATCTCATAATAATTCTAATAATAATAACTCATGAAAATATTATTATTTTAATTGTCTTATATTTAATTATATTAACTACAATAAATTTTTTCAAATTCCTTCGAATTTACTATCATTCTCTTACTCCAAACCACTCTACCAATCCACTCACATCACCTCAATTCATCCCTAGAATCCCTATCAAATCCAAACAAATTTGAGATAACACCAAAACTCTTAAACTATTCACACAAAAACACCAAATTTAAGACTAAGTATTCAATAAAAATATCATAACATTCCTTTTGTTTATATAATTCATTGAAACACCAGTTTTGACACTAAAACCAGAAAGTGATAGGATGCAAGACCCTCCACCAAGCATCAATTTTCAATTTCACTGGAATTCAAAATAAAATCTATCTTTCCCTGTCTTGATTTTTCTTTGTGTGCTCAAGAAAATTAGAATTTAAAAAACATGACAAGATCTCATTACTAATCATAAAACACCTCAAATATAAAGTTAAAAACTCAAATTTTCCTCCAATCCAAAACCCTAAACCATGTATAAAAAAACTAGAAGAAGAAATAAAATTTGAATAAAGGTAAAAGAACTTAAGGAAGGTAACACTATCTCATAACTATTTTGTAGCTTTCAATTTCTTAAAAATAATGAGAAAATGGTCTATATTTAGTTAGAATTAAAGAGGAGGAAAGAGGAGAAAAAAAGAACGTTGACAAAACTTTTTTATAAGTAATTTAATAATTTTTTAAATTTTCTATTGCAATATGTTTACTCTTTGAACTCAGCCCTCTTCTTTTATATTATAATCTTAAAGTAAGATAAAAAATTGATCTTAACTCTAATTATTATATATTTGAAATTTACGTTGATAAAAATAAAATTGAATAACATATATTTCGTTCAAGGGTACTGTACCAGTGTATAAGAGTATAACAGGAGAGATTTAAAAATATCTTAATTAATAAAAATGAAAAAAATAAACAACATTTATAATAAAAGAAACTCATAAATTAATATTTTATATTTTTTTATATGATTAATTTGTGATTTAATTTATGACTTTTAATTATTATTCTCTCACATTATCCATAATAAAAATATTAAAAAATAAAATCGTATAAAAATTTAATTCAAATTAAATGTCAAAATTTGATCGAAACTATATTTTATTATATTTTTTCTCAAATTGCATTACTTTGAATTTAGGATTAAAAATATAAACTATACCATATCAAAACTAAATCATTTATTATGTTTAAAATTATAAAGTAATAAATATATTTTTCCAAGATTATTTCATAATTTGATTATATTTTATTTATAATATATTTCTACTTACCAAAAATATTTTATATTTTAACTTCTAATTATAAGACTGTTTTATGTATTTATAAATATAACAAAAATTAAAATTATAAATATAATAATTATTATAAAAAATAAAAATTATAAATATAATTATTATTATAAAAAATCATAATATATTTTTTATTTGACAAATTTTTAGTATATAATATTCAATATTTTAAAATATATTTTAGTTTAAAAAATACATATTTTACAGTTTTAGAGTGACAAAACTGATAAAACTGAACAAATTGATTTTTCCTAAAAATAAAATCTAAACCAATCCATAATCTTCTCCTAAATACCTTGAATACATACTAAAAAATTAATTAAAGTTTTATCATATTTTACTTCAATTATTTTTTTCAAATTTTTCACACACTTATATTAAAATTTTAAACTAAATCCTTAGAATATACATATGTTATAATATAAAAATAAAAACTATTAATATTTTATTAAGATGAAAAAATTATTATATTTTTTATTTCTCTAAAAAAACAACTTTAGATGATACATTGGTATAACTGAAGACAAAGGAAGTAAATTATATACTTTAATAAACCATTGTTATAATTGAAAGAACATTCACTACTATTTTTTTCTTTGTAAAAGTCTAAAAAATAAACAAAATAAAGACTCTAATATTGATTATTATACAATCAATTAATAATTATGTATAATCTTATCACATTCTTTTATTTACTATTTTTTTAACCGTGAATAAAAATTAAAGAACAAAGGTATCAGAAAGTACGAACCAAAGTCCTGAGATAATAGAATTCAAGGTAAATTTCTATAAGCGCATCATCCAAGATTCAAACCCTAATACCATTTTAATATAATATTTTGTTTAAATAGGTTTGGGAACAAATATCACTCTAATTTGGATGCAAATATAAAGTATTACAAATTATATCTCAATTAAAAAAATAGATACACTGAATATTAAAATAAATACTATTATTTCCTTAGAGATATAATGTTATTTTAGGTCATAAAATGTTGCCACAAAACATTTATTATTGAAATGTGCATATTATTTTGGAAGATATGAAAGAGAAATTAATTGAAAGGAAGAGAAAAAAATTTGAAATTTTTTTCACAATTTTTATTAAATAAAAAGTGGAGGAAAGGGAAAGATTTTTGTGGAATCCAGATTATTCTCAATATTGGAAGAAAAAACAGAAAATAAAACATTTTTAATTATTTTACTATAAAAATATTTTTTTCCTATAATTATTTTAATATTATAGAAGTTGCAAAATGATTTCACTTAAACTTTTTTTTCTTTAATAAAAAACACTAGTAGAGAGAAATAATTTGAAATTTAGAAATCATTTAAACATTCCAGTATATTACATGAGTAAATAAATAAAATCAATGTGAACATGAATGTGAAAAAATTTATATGTATTAAATAAGAAAACAGTCTATGTACCTCTTATTCACAAATTATTTAATTTTTACCTAAAACCATACATACATACTTAGTTTAGAGTACACTTTATTTACAAATAAAAACTCATAAAATCAGTTTATATAGAGAAATCAATTATCTCGAAATCAGTTTAAATGATAAAACATTATATATACTTTTTCAAATTTCATTCAATCACGCATTATCATCTATTAAAAAATTATTATTTTTTATAAGTAATTATTACCTTAAAATGGCACATATATGTTTAATTATAGAAAATAAAGTTGCAGATTTATATAAATATATATATATATATATATATATATATATATATATATATATATAATTTTGTTTATGCATTTATTTATCTGAAGCAGGTGAAGTTGAAGCTTGACTGAAGAGTTTGGTGGCAGATAGCACAGTGAGCGTCTATTTTTATATATATTTATATAATATAATAATTACATATTTATTATTATTATTATTATTAGCATATATATGTATATAAGAAAAACAGTAACTCACTTGGTTCACGTTGCTGCTGGAGTGTGGAAGGGAAAGATACTGAAAGTTGGTTCTAGGGTTTGCGATGGAGTTTTGCAAAAACAAATGAGTCAACAAAATTTCTATAATCCCATTTTTTCTTGACAACAATGCCAAGTGGATTTTTTTGTTGATTCAGATTCTTGACGCTGCGGATAAGTGTGCGCAGCCATAAACAATTTTGAATTTCTACTTCCGAACTCCGAAAAAACCCAATCGAACATCATGGAACGTTCTAGATCTAAGAGAAACTACTACTATGACCAAGACTATGATTCTGAGACTGTGGTCAGGACCAGGCCGCGATATAACAACCACTACAGCGCTGGCGCCGGCAACCACCGCCACCGTGGCGGCGGCGCCCGCCACGCGAAGGCGCAGGAGTCGCAGCTCAGCGTCACAACCAGCTACCGCATTCTGTGCCACGATATGAAGGCAGGCGGTGTGATAGGAAAGTCCGGCAGCATTATAAAGTCCATAAGGCAGCACACCGGGGCGTGGATCAACGTGCACGAGCTCATGGCGGGGGATGAGGAGCGGATCATCGAGATTTCAGACACGCGCCGGCGAGACCCCGAGGGGAGAATGCCGTCGTTTTCGCCCGCGCAGGAGGCGCTGCTACTGATCCACGAGCGGATTCTGGAGAGCGACGCGGGGTTTGGGGTGGCGGAGGAGGAGGAGGAGTATGGTGGGAGGGGAGGCGGCGTGAGGGACCGTGTGGCGACGAGGCTGGTGGTGTCGAGAATGCATGTAGGGTGTTTGTTGGGGAAAGGAGGAAAGATTATTGAACAAATGAGGATGGAAACCAAGACGCAGATTAGAATACTCCCTAGAGATCACAACCTTCCCCGTTGTGTTTCCATGTCTGAAGAGATTGTTCAGGTGCCTCAACCAGACAAAATAAGCTTGGACTGTTTTTCATCTCATACTTAAATTGCATGCATGATATGCTCTGAACTCTAAAGAACAAACGAAACCCCCTTCATTAATTTTTTTGAACATCAGTTTGGACTGTGAGGGATCAAGTTATTCTCATTCACCTGTGCTGAATTTGGAGGATACTAATTAAAACTGGTGAACCGAAGATATTAATGATTTTTTTTTTTTTCAGTTTCACTCTTCACTTTGCGTATTTCCTCCTTGATTTGTTGGCTTCGTATAAACTAATTAACTAATACAATAAACCATCTATTGTAACTGATCTTGGCTTTAAGGCATGAAGGGCTTTCTAAGTCATCTTTTTTCAAAAAAAAAAAAAAAACTGGAAAGGAGGAATGATGTTTGGGTTTGAAGCAATATTTCTTTGGGTTGTGGGTTCGGAGTTCATTCTATATTGGATCATTAGATTTGTGCTGCGTTACCCTAGTTTTTTAGAAATCTGTTTATGATTTAGTGGTGGATCAAGTGCATCTGTGATACTGGTTGAACTTGGCAGATCGAGTATATAATTATTGGTTGATTTTTGCGTGAATTTAGTCTGTTAATTGAGATAGAAAGCAGGCAGTGCCATGCCAATTTGAGGATAATATCTTTTATATTGCTTTCATTACCATGATAATGATATGAGAAATATGGAGATGTGGGGTTGTGCTTGGCCATTCTAAAGATCTGCTTTGATTCATCTGGAAATTTACACATTGAAAAACTATATGAATTGAAGGTTGCTATTTATGTGATGTTTTCTGCAGGTTGTAGGTGATTTAAATGCTGTAAAGAATGCTCTTGTTATCATATCATCACGGTTGAGGGAGAGCCAGCACCGTGACCGAAGTCATTTCCATGGACGTGTACATTCACCAGAGCGTTTTTTCTCTCCCGATGATGATTATATTCCTCACGTGACTAGTGGATCTCGTAGATCATCTGTGGATGGGGCCACTTTTGGATCACGAGGTTCCAACACAAATAGCAGAAACAATAGTCACTCCTCAATGAATTATGCACTGGAGCCTGGGGCTGCTCCTGTTGCCGATGATGCACAGGGCTTCTATGGGGAGGAACTTGTTTTCCGTGTACTCTGTCCAGTTGAGAGAGTTGATCGTATAATTGGGGAATCAGGTGGAATTGTAGAGTTCCTTCAGAATGAGGTTGGTGTAGATGTTAAGGTCACTGATCCTATCGGTGGTTCTGATGAACAGATAATTATCATTACTTCTGAGGAGGTACTTTCTTTCCCTTATTTTTTTGTCTCTATATCTGATTGTACTACTAGTGCAAGTTTTTCTAGGTCACTAGTTCAGGTTGCAAGAGTCGTAGGGACAGTACTTTACCTTCTTAACATCATCTATTTTTGGGGCAATTTGATATGCATCCACTTAGATATGATTCATCGCATGTTTAAAGTTCTAACAGTTTCTAGTTATGTACTTAAGGGTCCTGATGATGAGCTGTTCCCAGCTCAAGAAGCTTTGCTACATATACAATCTTGCATTGTCGACCTTATTCTAGATAAAGACAATACTATAACCACCAGGCTTGTTGTCCCATCTAGCGATATTGAATGCTTAGATGGAAAAGATGCTTCTCTTTCAGAAATAAGGAGATTGACAGGTGCTAATGTTCAAATTTTGCCAAGAGATGAGCTACCTCTCTGTGTTGCAAAAACCGATGAACTTGTACAGGTTTGTCATTTATTTTACAGCTTGCCGATATATTCTATCAGATTCCTTTGATAAATGTAGTCTGAAAGAGTTAATGATAAATGTTAAACTTTATAATGATGATAGATGTTATTCCTCAATGCATCTGAGTGCATGTATACTACATTAAAAAAAAATTACAAACTAAAGAATGTGCTGTTTTCGTCAAAAGAACACCAATAAATGTTGTAGAGTGAGCTTGGACACAGCGATAAGGTTATTATACCGTAACTTAAGCCTCTTCACTTTTGGGGGTAATGCAGTGGATATATTTGCCCTCCCTCCCCTGGACCCCCCATTAGGTGGAAGCCTCATGCACCTAGTACAAAGAGATCCAAAGCCTTACATTCCAGTTCTACAATGTTAAAACCAAGACCTGGATATTCAAACTCTGCTTTGTGTTTATTGGCATTACAGATTGTTGGAGAGATTAAAGCAGCCCGAGATGCTGTTGTGGAGGTGACATCAAGATTAAGAAGTTACTTGTACAGGGATTTCTTTCAAAGGGACACAGTATCACTACCAGCTCCCTTACCTGGTTTGGAGGCATCGTCCAATAATTTAGTTCCAGTTACTGAAACTCCCACAACCTATCAAAACTTGCAAACTGTTGCAGGAGCCCTTCCATCAAAGGTATTCGTTGATGCAGTGAAACTTGACTCATTATCTTCATTCAATATTTCCCTTTTTTTTTTTACCTGCTATTTTGATGATTAGCATGTGGGAGATTTATTATTCATCTTTAGTTCATGTTTCTTGTCTTCTCTGAAAATAGCTTTTGTACACAGGAATTAAGAAAGTTATTTTTTCTGTGTCCTATGACGGATTTGTTATTTCAACTAGGAATGGGGGAATTTTTTCATGGGTGGTATACCCTTTTTCTTTGTTTCGAATGGGAATGAGGTTCTCTTCTCATACTGTATATTTTTTACTGTTAATGAGGCACCCAAGCAGTTGATAACCCACCCTCAAAAGCTAGTATTAAGGGGGAGGAACCAAGTACTTAAATACTCCACTGAGCATCTTATACTACTTGGTGTGAGATTTAGGCTTCTCATAATACTCAATTCCCTATCATAGCACACCGCCCCTAAGTCGACTTCTCAACGACTCCCACTTTATGGTACTTCATTCAATTCAATGACACTTCACTTTGCTTTCTCATTAGTCAGAATCGTTTGTAGGTAGTCCATTTTGAGACACCAACAATCAGTTCTGATATGAATTGGTAAGCACCCAAAGCACTTGGGTGAGGAATCTACCTTCAAAGGTAACTATTAAGGGGGATAACCAAAAACTTAAATATTCCACTTAGTATCTCTTACTGTGGGACATAGGCACCCCATTATACTTAGTCCTTATTATAAATAATTAATTTGTATCATAGAAAAAGGACTTTATCTGGTACTCTGTTTGAAAACCGGACCGGTTGGTTCAATCTGAAACTGTTCTTGAAATTGGTTTGTTGTTTTCAAATAATAAAATTTTAATTAAATCGGGATAAAACCAACTGTGCTTTTGGGTCAAATCGGTTTTGGTAAAAAAAAAAAATTAAGATAAATTTTTCTTAATATTTTTTTTATAAAAAAATATAATATACTTTAGTTTTTTTTTCATATTAGTTATGTCAACTTTAAATAATAATTATTTTACTATGTTTTTATCATATGTTAACAATTATTCATTTTACTTTTTCTAATATATTTTGTATTTTTAACCTTCATTGTAACTTATGGTGACTATGACAATAATTTTTATTATTTTTCTTTCTTTTGCAAAAAAACATTGTTACCAATAAATTTATTATATCCTTGTTATATTATAAAAAATATTATTTTATTAAATTCGATTGGATCCCGGTTGAACTATTAAAGTCTAAGCTCATGTCTTCATCAAGATCGGTCCAATTTTAAAAATATTGGTTGATATAGAGCAAGTTATTTATGAAACATTAATGTTATTTAATGATTTAGTTTTTTTTTTTAAATAAACTACTGTTTTCAATTTTTGGTGACCAAATCATATAATTGAAGTTATGGCTTGATTAGCTACTTTATAGAGAAAGTTTTTTTTAATTTGAAGAAAAAGTGATTTTTTGTTTCTTTTTTATTTCAAAAGGAAACTGCAGGATCTAGCACTGAGGCAGGAAAGCAGAAAGAAAGTGATCGCCGCGATGAGGTGCTTAGTGGTTTAAATAGGTAATTGGTTTTTACCTAATTTTACAACAGGACGTTGTAATAGTCTTGTGAATTTTCTTTCTCCCTTCCTCCTTTCTAATGTATCCCATCTTCTGGTTAGGATTGCTGTACCTCTCGTCACAAGGAGTACACTTGATGTTGTTATACCAGAGATTGCAGTACCAAAGCTTATGGCAAAATCCAAAAGCATGCTTGCCCAGATAAGTGAGGTATGTTGATTTGATTTGTTAATACCTTTCTGTGATATTTGGATCGTGTGAAGTGTCAGAAAAGGCATTCTTATACCAAGTTGTTGGAACCTATATGTCCATGTTTACTTTTAATCTTACAAAACTGAGTAGCTACCCCACTTCCCCCCAAATAAAAAAAAACTGTGAACAAATATGGAAGAATATGTTCTTTACATTGCTTGACTTATAGATTGTACCTAGATCATACAAAACGTATTTTTTTTTTTTTTTTTAGATTCAAGAATGAAAAACAAATTACTCAATGACTCCCCAATATTTTTTGAACTTCGATTCTAGAAATTGTTATCAGTAGATAGCCTTTATATTCACTAATATTTTTTTGGTAACAGTTGTCAGGAGCCAATGTAACCCTTGTAGAGGATAGACCAGACGTGACAGGGAAGACTATTCAGATATCTGGAACTCCAGATCAGGCAGAGAGAGCCCAGAGCTTGCTCCAAGGATTTATTTTGAGCAGTAAGTTCATGTCTCAGACGTGTCACGTGGTTTTTATTCTCATCAATGCATTTCTTGTTGTCTTGGTTTTTAAGGAGGAAACTCCCATGTTTGTAAATAAAAAAAATTGAATCCATATTTACTTTTGTTTTAACAGCACAAGAAGATGGCCCTTAAACTACTGAAATTCCGAAAAGTGGTTAGACCAAAGGGAAGAATAGTTAATTTAGTGCCTGAAGCATTTTGTTCCATGCGCTGACTGGATTTCCATGTGTTTACATGATTGTTGTGGCCTAGGGTTGAAATTTTAATGTTAGAGAAGCATCTTACTGTAAATGTTGTCCTAAGAGAGCTTCGATGTTAGTTTTATTAGTCTTTTTAGCTAGTGCATGGGAGCAGTTGTTTGCTACCCTGGATGGTGTTTTCTTATTTGATCTCATCTATTAATTTGAGAAAGTAAATCAAGAGGTTTTAGTATTCAAGCCGAAAAATGGGAAGGGCCTTCCCCCTCTCCTTGGTTTTCATTACACTATGCACCTTATTTAACAAATCCGTCACAAGTCTGAACTCAGATGAATTGCTGATTTGAATTTAAACTTTTATGAATATGTCTACTAACAATACTATAAAAGATGTAATTTTTCTTAAACAATTTAAAAGAATGAATGATAGTGTGGTTTAGCACGAGCGATGTGCAAGGGGATTTCAATCTTGGCTCAAGAAGTACATTAGTTAGGGTATATGATTTTCGTTTACCCATAAATTTGGTAGGAATAAAAATAAATTGTTTAAAATTTACTCTTAAAATAATTTGATGTATCAAAGTTAATAAATAAATAATTAACAATAGAATAATGACATATGATAGAGGTGCAAAATTAAAGATGAAATGGGAATGATACCTAATTTTCATCTCCCACAAAGACAAAGATTAAGGTCAGAGATAATGTCAGAGTTGAAGTAAAGTTGTGAGGTTTCTCTTGCATTACCACTTCATATTATTTTATTGTTTTTCTCTAAATAATTTAGACTTTTTTTCTAATTAAAAGAATAGACATTGATTTTTAACAATAAAAATCCATATTCTTATATAAGAATTACTTAAAAACATATCACTCTAGCGATCACTTTTTTATTTTCGACGTATATAAACAAACCCAACACAAGATAACGTAGATGTAAACTTATGAATACAATCGTATTGCAACACTCTTTATTTTTCCACTCTTTTTACATGAAAGTATGTGCAAAAATAGAGTGACGTATCAATCATCATCGCTCATGCAGCAACGTAGATTTTGACCATCAGAAACATCTTTAAAGCCAAAAAATTACACAATATTCGTCGCAAAATTTAGCATCTGGACAATATCCCCATTCTCACAAATTTCGAAGTAAGGCCATTGCAAATTGTATGCAAGTTGTTTTCAGAGAAGACCACAAGCTTGATAGCTTGGGTTTGGAGTTGAAGATGAATAGGGAAAGTATAAGTAAGTGGTTTTGAAAAGAAAGAGAAGTAAAAATGAAAATTGTTAAAAGAAATAAAAATGGTCGAAGAATATATTCAAGAAAGAATAACCGTAGAAGATTCATTTTTGATAATTCCCTTATAGATAATTGAGTAATTGTTTGAGTAATTTTTGTTAAAGCCAAATGATTTAATATTTATTTTAACAAGAAATACTAACGGTCAAAATTTGTCGAAAATATTTTTATTATTTATTGTATTTTTTACTTATTAATAATCTGCTTTATATTTTTATAGTTTCTATTAGTATAGAGATTAAGAGAATTATCATTGGCAGGATTCGATCCCAATACTTTAGAGTTGGAGTTTAATACTCTAATCACTAAGTTACTAAATTTTGTTGATAATAATTTACAAATAAATTATATTTATATACAAATAAATGTATATCTAGGTAAATATATAAATACAATATATTTATATATTTATATAATTAAATATTTATTTTTTTAAATTATTTAATTTAATAATTATTGTAAATTAATCTAATTATGATTAAATTAAATTATTAAATAAAAAAATATTTAATTTTTTAACTAGGTGAATAATTAATTTATTAGAATATATTTAAAATTAAGTAATTATTATATAATTTTACCGATATATATATTTGTCGGTAATTAATTATTAATATATCGATGAATTTACCGACGGATATATCCATCAGTAAATAATTGTTAATTTACCAACAAATTTACCTACATATATAAGAATCTATAAAGTTATTAGAATCATTACTAAACCTCCGTTTTTATTTCTTATAAAAGGTCATACAAATATTCTAACATACTTCACATGCCAAATTTATTTTAGGATGTTATTGAACACTTTTACGAAATCCTCTAATCTTCTTGCACACTATCTAAATTATTAAATGTTTCTAAAAACAAAAGTATAATGTAAAAGACTACAAAAACATATTAAAAATTATTTTTATTATTCATTACTAATCATGAAATCACAACACAATATTACTTGAAATTGTAACAGTACTTATATTTTATTGATGTGAAAATTTGTGTTACAAAGACAGTGATTATTAATGTATCGATGGATTTACCGACAGATATATCCGTCAGTAAATAATTGTTAATTTACCAACAAATTTACCTACATATATATTTGTCGGTAATTAATTGTTAATTTACTGACGGATATATCCGTCGGTAACTAATTATTAATTTATCGACGGATATATCCGTTAGTAAGACCAAATTTCACAAATACTTTATATACATCGGTAATAACTTATTTTCTGACAGTTACAAATCTATCGGTAAAAATCTGTCGGAAATATGCGATTTTCTTGTAGTGAAAGTTAAAACAACTAATCAATTGTGATAAAATTGAATTAATTAAATTTGTATTAATCGATTAGATAAGTAATTAATCGATTATATGATTTAAATTTATATTTTCATATTATGTGTTAATAATCGATTATGTGACTATATCTCTATTTTAACATCACACGTTATTAATAGATTATATGAAATCAAATTCAAAGAATAAATTGTTTGACTATAGGATTTAGTATTTTAAAAGTTTAAGGTGAATTTGTTCGTATCTTTCTTTTTTTTTGAATTTGTATTTTATATTGATATATGTGAGGTGAATAACATCAGAAAAACTTAAAAAATTATGTGAATAACATTTTCAAGTATTATGATTTTTTTTCTTAAATATTCGATGATTAAAGTATGTTGTATTCAAGATCAGCCTATTACGTTGTAATCTGGTTAATGAATAAATTTTAGTGAAAACTGAAGATAAAATTACTTAATTAACTTGATATAAATTCAAAAGAATCGAAACAATATAAATTGTTATTGTTATGTTTTTTTGTTATTTTCTTTATCTTGTTATTCTTGCTTGTTATCTTGACACATTTTTAATTCTTTTTAAATTTGATTATGAGAAAAATATTTTAAATAATTGATTAGATTTAAAAAGGTTTTATTAATCCAATTCATCCTCTGGGGTGTGATTAGACATTCATGTTTTTTCTAAAAAAATATTTGAATTAAAAGAAAAAAATGAAAAATTAAGAAAAAAATATGGTGAAATTAGTTTTTTTAGTTAAAATCATAATAATTAAACACAGATTAAGATTTAATGATAAAATAATTAACTTAATTTTCAATATATTTTACCTTTTATCTTTTATGATCACACTAATACTGGTTATTAATTAACATTTAAGGAAAAATGATTTTTAACTCAATAATACATTGTTAACATGTTACAAGTTAGTCCCCACTAGTTATATAAGAAACTATAAAGTTATTAGAATCATTACTAAACCTCCGTTTTTATTTTTTTTAAAAGGTCATACAAATATTCTAACATACTCAACATGCCAAATTTGTTTTAGGATGTTACTGAACACTTTTACGAAATCCTCTAATCTTCTTGCACACTATCTAAATTATTAAATGTTTCTAAAAATAAAAGCATAATGTAAAGACTAAAAAAACATATTAAAAATTATTTTTATTATTCATTACTAATCATAAAATCACAGCACAATATTACTTGAAATTGTAACAGTACTTATATTTTATTGATGTGAAAATTTGTGTTACAAAGACGGTGATTATGAGAGTACGGTAGGAGGAGGAGGTGGTGGAGGAGGGAATTTTTCTAAGCTGATGCAGCAACAAAGATTTTGGCCATCTCTGGTGCAGAGACCACCATAATCTTTATACCCAAAAAAAACACAATAATTGTAGCAAGCTTTTGCATCTGGACAGTTTCCTCCCTTCTGGCACACTACTCTTGCGGTTCCTAAAATCAACACAATCTCGTTAGAAAATTTTATGGAAATTACTCATTAATCATATCAATGAATACAAAATTAATTAAAAAAAAAAACATTGAATAAAACATTTCCTATGTAACGATGAAATTTGTAATTATTAAAATAATCTCACAGTTTCGAATTATTCTCTCTTAATTTACCTATATATTTTTTTAATAATAAAATTATAATAGACAAGTAAAAAGAAAAATATTTAAACATAGAAATTGACTATAATAAATATAAAAATTAACCTTAATAATGTTATTATAATATATATATATATATATATATATATATATATATATATATAAAAGATTAAAATATTCACAATCTTTAATTATATTATAATATTAAAATTAATTCTAAATAAAAAAAACATTCAAAAATAAATTTCACATGGTCAAACTAAAAAATATGATACAGTTCATGAAAATCACAAGTTTTAAATTAACTTTAAAAATTACAGGAAACCGCAACCGAAGTTTATTACCTGGAGTCGAAAGAAAGACGATGCATAGAATTGCAAAGACAAAACCCAGACCTATGATTCTTCTGTTAGCCATGGTGTGAAGATGAACTTCTCTTCTCTACTCTCTTTTTACTCTCACTTGTGTTTTCTCACTTTGTGGGCTTATATAAATATTACTTACTGCATTGATATTAGTTTTAAAGAAGGAAAGAAAATAATCTCTTTATTATATATTTATATAAATATAAATTTATACTATATTAATCACAATAAAACTAAAATTATTATAAATATTACTATTTATGAATCCTAGTAACCATAACAAAAATATGGAAACTAATTTCAAAGAAAAAAATATTCCTTTTATATGTTTATAT